ATTTTATTGCTATACTCAAGAAACTTAGTGTATGAGTCATTCGAAAGGAACAACAACAGGGTTAGGATGACCTTCATATGTAGAACTCCATATTCCATGAAACTTCAAAATACTGCCTAAGATCTCGTTATAGCGTGAAATGCCACACACTTGCTGCGCAACTACTTCATACCCACCTCACTCAGACAAACCGGTATTTATGTGAAGAGTACTTAGCTTGGAGATCATACCCGCGTAGTCAAATAGCCTGAGGTTTTGTGTGACATGTGGACTGGTTGAAGACCAGGAATAAGAATACTCGAAAATAGCAACGCTTTGTGCAGAGTTTTGTTACTCATCGTTTGGATCAATCTGAGCGACCTTGGTTGGTAACATCCGGCTAGTGTCAGTCAGATGATGGTTGTGTGATCGGCCATACTGGAATGGTCACCGGTGAGTGTTAAGCCCGAGGAGTGTCCGTAACTACTTCATGTTAGTTATTGTTCCTAATCACACCTCTACTACAGACTTGTCATAACTCCGTACGGTACCGGGCTGTGTTAATCGCAGACTTTCTTCAATTGGTCGACCCAGGTCGAATAAGATAGTACTCCTCTTTTTGTGTACTAGGATGCATTTGAAGAGGAGAACTATGCGAATTTCTGTGTCTCTCTTATGCTATTCAAATCTGACTATTTTAACCCTTTCTACCTTGCTGTTGCTCAGTCCTTTCGATAGGTAATCGAACTCGGTATACTGGGTGGGGGAAAACCATTTCCCCGTCTACTCATACCCTGCTCACACAAAAAGCACCCGAAAAGTTCAAGACTCGTGAACTGATCAAACGTACATACGTTTATGCAATAACCCAATTGCTGAAGTGCTAAAGTTTACCTATTACCGATGCGAATAGAACTTTGTCCGCTTCATATATGTCCACTTTCATACAAATCCCAAATGTGCTAGTTTTAGTTCATTTATGCAGGTTTTTCCGTGTTTGGTTATCATCCACTCCTCTCTCATACATGGTCTGGTTGGTGGACAAAATAGTCCACCATTTTCCTCGGAAAACTGTCACCCATACCGCTCACTGTGTTGGACACACTAGCACTTTCCGCGCGCTGGATTTAAATGAAACTTCAATCCCTTTCCTGCTTATATGTTACAGGTCGGTCCACATCCCTCTCTCGCTCCGACTGCCATGTGTGCTTGCTGTCTTGAAAATTCGACCCGGATATGTGTGGAAGGGCCTTGCACCGGATCATCCAGAATGCTTGGCGTCCAAGCAGCTTGTTTGGTCGTTGCGTTTAGTGATACAAGCATCAGGTTGATATGCTTGCACAGGGTATGAATTTCATTGTAATGTACTACTCATAAGGTTGCTGAAAATCCATCGACAGCCCACGACCGGTTTCGCCCTTCTTGAGGCTCATCAGGTAGGCGCAGTCCCCGGGTTTTCGTCAACCTTATGTTCTACTTGAAACCAAATTTCACTTTATATGGCATCCTCTTATTGCATGTTGATACCAAAAATAATCCAAATTAGTGATGGCATTCAGCCTAGGAATTCACTGCAGACAAATGTGGCTGGCCGTATATGATTCTGTGATTGCTTAATAAAACTTCAATGATTTTTCAGTGTTCAGTTAGTTTCTTGTGAAGACAGAAACTTGCGACTTTAGAATCCAGTAACAAAAACAACCCCTGGAACTACGTCTATCAAATGGTCGGTGAATATTGATGACCGGTTGGAAACAGACAACAGAAACGATCAATACGAGTACCAGTTACAACAAGTGGATCACACGTTATCAGAAACACAGAAATGTTTAGAGGACTTATTCTATCAACGTCAACAGCGCGAATGTTTGACCGGCCAGATATTTAACCAACCAT